TGTTGATGTTCCTGTTTGGTTGTCATTGGCCATGTTTCTGCACCATATAACAACACCGGACGTATCACAGATTTATAAAGTCTTGATCGTAGTGGTAGTGGAATGTCACGCCGCATCAATATAGTGGCAAGGAGATGCCATTTATCTCAGGATGCACGTATGCGTGCTCAAACGGCAGCTGTTCCAGTACAATCCAGAACATCACCTAGATATTGAAACGATGTAACTTTCTCTACCTTGATGGCTTCAAAAACATTGCTATTTCGAATTTGTTTTGTGGATTGATGCAAGCAGGACAAAAAAATTGGACACTTTAGATAAAGTACCAATTATTTTTGAACAACGTTTGTGACACCACTGGTTACACTTGATTGAATTGTTACCTACACCAGCTTTACAAACTGAACAGGGCCATCGTCCAGTAGTTGCGGATTGAATGGGTTCACCAGTGTTCATTGCTTTGGTTTTGCTGATGTTGACTTTGAATCCATGATCGGCGAGTCTGGTGTTCCAATCTTCAAACATCTGTGCTGCATTCTGCTCAGACGTGGCTGTTATAACGATATCATCAGCATATATTAGATTCCAAATGTCACCAATGCGTATAGGTTTTGTGATTTGTTCTATCACAGTTATAAATAACAGTGGACTGAGAATCGTGCATTGGTGAACTCCAACGCCGATGTCAAATGCATCTGGGTTTCAACCGTTGTGCTGACGAGAGTCTTAGTATTCGTATACATTTCCATCACAAGTCGAACAAGATATTCTTGAATGAATTGTCGACGTAGACTTCACTTGATTGCTTCACGGGGAACTCGATCAAATGCTTTTTCAAGATCTACAAAACTGTGTAATAGTTGTTGATGCTCTGCGAGATACTTCTCTTGCAGTTGCCGAAGGATGTGAATTGCATCAATTGTTGATTTCCACGCTAGAAAACCAAATTAATAATTTCAGATTGTGATGCACGACGTTAATCTTCTCTCAATGATTTTTTCGACAATTTTCAGGGAGTGTTTTAACAGACGTAAACCCCGATATGATGAACAGTTCAATGAATCACTTTTGCCTTTGTATAGGGGGACTGTCATGCTATAGTTCCATTCAGTCAGCATTGAGCAATTTTTCCAGATTTCACGGCAAAGTTGTAGTATCGTTTGGATACCTGCAGGACCAGATGCTTTGATAATGTCATTTGTGAGTCCAGAGGGCCCTGCTGCCTTTCCATCTTTCATAGCTTTCAGAGCTTCTGTAAGCTTCTTTACAGTGATGTCTGGAATCGGACCTTCGATGGGTGGAGCGTCAAAGTTGACATTGATGGGATTTGTTTCGTTTAACAGACGGTTGAAATATTCTCTCCACTGTAGCTTGATCTCATCTTGTTCAAGAACCATCTCATTTTTGTCGTTTTTAATACATGAGGCACCAACTATGTTTTTTTTCGTACGCTTTGCTTGTTTTGCTATACGATACAGAGATTTCATTTGTTCACCTTTGCTTTTAGTGAGCCACTCCTGCACTGATCTGTCCGAGCCAGTGCAACTTGACGTCTTGCATAGTTGTTCTTCTAACGGAAAATTTTATGGTCATCAACAGACTTTGATTTTTGCCATTGCTTGTATGCAACTTTCTTTTCATCTATTGCATTTTGTACACTGTCATTCCATTACCACGTGTCCCGTTTATGTTGGCGTTTTGTACCAGTTTTTCCATAAACTGTAGTTGCAGCGTTCATCAAAACGGTTTTGTATGTACTCCAATCTGTACTGGCTTGAGATTGGTGGTCTAACTGTGTGGCGACAATCTGTTGAAATTTGTATCGATGAATATTCCTTTTCAGCTTCCACGTTTTGATTCTCCGAGGCATTTGTTTAGACTTATGTTTTCACAGTTCGACAACCAGGTCTGACACAAGGAGTCTATGTTGGGCGACACATGATTCGCCAGGTATAACTTTAACGTTTTTGAATAGCCTTCGGTGTTGTTGCTTGACAGCGAAGAAATCAATTTGCGTGGCTGATGGTCCACTTTTGAATGTTATGAGATGTTCCAACCTCTTTCTTAAATATGTGTTCAGTAAACCAAACCCGTGACTTTCAGCAAACTCAAGGATGCGGTTGCCATCTTCATTCCGTTCTCCATAACCAAAACCGCCATGTACGTTGTCAAAACCATCTGTTTTCTCTCCAACATGGCCATTGAGATCGCCTCCAATCAGGATTGTTTTAGATTTTGGTATTGTTGAGATGGTGTCAGAGAATGCTGTCCAGAAGTCATTATTCATCTTTTCTGATTCGCCTGTATGTGTTGCGTATGCAGAAAAAATAATCATTGTTTTTCTATGCGAAGCTTGATCCACATGATACGTGAATTAATCTTTTTAATATCCAGTACTTTTTGGGCTAGCGGTTCTCTGGCAAAAATTCCAACACCATTTTTGGCCGTCTTTTGACCATTCCAGAATAGTTTATATTTTTCTATTTTTTTGTCAGTATAAAAAGAAACGTTTCTAATATTTTTTTTCAATAAATTAAAGCAATCATTACAAAGATATTTTGAAATCACTCATATAAATAAAAGATTGTTTCAAAAAAGATGAAATTTTCTCTGATTATTAATATATCTTCTAAAATGTTTTCATTGAAACCACTTCTGCAATCTATGAGGATAACTTTTAATACAAATACAGATCTTTCCAGGCTCACGTCTGTAGCTGTACTTCAAAATTTTGAAGATGATTGCACTTGATCTCTTATTTTTCTGATTATATTAGATTTCTCTTCACGTGGCAATTCTTACTCAAATTATCGGTGAACTTACTTTTTTATTCTTATTGAGGATTGATTATTGCAACTCGCTTTGCTTTGGTTTTGCAGATTCTACACTCTATCCTTTAAGTAAAACTTTCAACTTTGCTGCTCGTCTAGTTGCTTGTGCTCATTTCGTTTCTCGTATATCTCCATATCTTGATCTCTTGAACTGGCTTCCTATAAAACATGAAATAATTTTTAAAATTTGCACATTGATGTTTAAGTTTATTTCCTACCTGTCATATATATTAATTGAACCTTTACGATCGTCTTCTTGTTCTCACTTTTTCTTAACTAGTGTTAAACACTCTTTTGCTATATCTGCATTTGCTTTTTCTGGCTCTTTTCTCTGGAACTCTCTACCTTCTTTTTTGACTACTTTTCCATCACTTACGAAGCTCAAAGCCGATCTCGAGACCAATCTGTTTGCAAAATTCATTGAGGAGCGCTGTTGGATTTCGCGGAAATAGTGCTTTATAAACTAATTGATTGATTGATGATTCTAGGTTTTAAACAGAGATGAAATGAGCTGTAATTCCTAGATAAGCCCTTACCATTCCTTTTTAGGACCAACAATCTAAACTTAAAGATATTGTGTTTTTTGAATAGGTAAAATCTCTGTGACGAGTTGTTTAATTTTTTGTAATAAAGGCTTTTTGTCACAAATGATGATTCCAGGTCTGAAACAGAGTTGAAATGAGCTGTAATTTTTAGATAAGCCCTTACCATTCCTTTTTAGGACCAACAATCTAAACTTAAAGATATTGTGTTTTTTGAATAGATAAACTCTCTGTAACGAGTATTTTAATTTTTTGTAACAAAAGCTTCATCATACGAATAATGACTTTGGACAGTTAAATTTTGAATCAGCCTCACTCAGTCATCAAATAGTGGAATTCTTTGGACACCATGACATTTAGCGAACAATTAGGCAGTTGTTCTATGGATTGTTTTAAACGCTGCTGCTGACAATCACTTTTTTCATATTTTGTTGTGGCAGGAAAATTTAATTTTTGTTGTTAATATTTTTTTATTTCATTTTTCTTATTGCTAATATTTTTTTTTAGATTTTAGATCCAAAAATACCTGTTTATGATTACATTTTAAATGCTTCATTAAATTAGTTGCATGCGATGAAGCTCTAACTCTTTGTAACAAATTTTGCAGCAACATTTTTTATAAGCAAACATTTTTTTGAGAAACAAGCTGAGCTTGATAATAAAACATTATCTTCGTCAAAGCTTGAATTGATTTCTTCCATATCATATTCTAATCATCTACTTCTACCATTTTTGGTTTTAGCAATTAACTGAAAATTATCAAATTTAACAAATAAAAAAATGACTTGTGAAAATTATTTTAAAAAGTTTAATTTATTGCTACATTAATTATGGATCTGTTAAATAATCTTTATCGTTAACTACCGTACCTATTTTGATTTTAATTTATTAAATTAATTAAATTGATATTGATTATAAATATTATATAATAAAATTATAAAAGATCCATAATTTAATTTGTTCACATTATCATAAGATTTAGTCATTTAGTCATTTATTTTACACAAATTACTCCGTACCATGCCCCATAGTGAAACTTTGTTCAATGTGCACTAACAATTATATTATAAAAAAATTAAGCATGAAATAAAATCCACCAACCTTCGACGTCACATACTTGGCAGCGAAAACATGAAAAAAAAGAAAAAGGAAAGCGCATAAACAACATAACAATATGACTCTGATTACAATCAAAGAACCAAAATACAATACCAAAAAATTAATATTTATTAAAACGAATTTTTTGAAGATAAAGAGCCCTTTTAAAACTCGGTTTCGGTTCCCAAGCTGGGGTACCTAGGAATCCTTTTAACAACGAATGGCACTGTACCGGTGCTTTGAAATTGCAAAGGTTCATGTACCCTGACAACAGATAACTGACTCTCTTTGACTGAGTTAACTTTGTCATTTATTGCTTTTAAAACTAACAGCTGTAATATTTGTATGTAGTTGTACATTTTTTTAAATTTCGCAAAATAAGCTAGTCTTAGCGAGCCAGTTAATAAGCTGCTGTACGTTTGTTTGCTTGCCATACATCTTGCCCAAGTTACTAGAATTTATAATTTGTAATTACTTTTTTGCTATTTCTTATAAAATCCAATTGCTTATTTATAAAAGCAATGTCAAAAATATAAATTTTTTTGTAATTTAGGCCAATTGAAAAAAACTGTAATAAACTACATTCAACAATGGAAAGCTGGAATATGCCAAAAACTGAACGAAAAATATCATATTTTACTTAACAACATGCTGGTTACATTTTGTTCGATGTTTTAAAATTATTAACTTTTTTAATATATTTGTAAAACAAAACAAATTGGTTAAGTTGAATTAAATTTTCAATTCATGAAAAATAATTTTTGATTTTTGGATTGTTATGTATAAAATCAATTTTTGCCACTAAGGCTTCTTTATCCTTTTCACACGACGTACACATGTATTTATGTGCACGCGCAAGCACAGCATCATATACGCCGGTTACATGATAGCTATTGAGATGTTTGACTCAGCGAGCATTTGAACCACTAAGCCATCTCGCTTGCCAGACATGTGGCAACTTACGTTGTCTCCCCATTTACCGACCTCGGAAGAATGAACGGCTGGGTTGGCCGGGGGTTGGCTACTCGGATGAACCTGCAGAAACTGCAGGATTCGAACCCGGGTCGTGGGAGTAGTAAACGGACACGCTAACCACTCGGCCACGGGACCCACATAAGTTAGATTTAAAAACTAAAATAAGTTAAGAGTTCTCAATTGCAGTTTAATTATATTTAAGTACGCTGATTAACTCATTTTTTGGTCACAAAATACCTAAATTTTTGTTTTAGAAGCATTCTATATGCTGATTACAAGACATTTTGTAATCTTCTCAGAGCCATAATTATCTACATCATTTTGTCAAATGAATCACGCCAGCAAAAAGTCACGAAATCATAAATATACATTTATTTCCGTTTTTTCCAGAACAGTGTGAAACTCTGCTTACCCATTCTTTTGCATTATTTCAATAAAAATCAATTTTATATTACCGCATAGATGTCCTTTCAGAAAATTTTAAAGCATTCAAGACGATCAACTTGAAAAAATGTCTACAATACATATCAATATAACGTAAATTATTGCCCACTTTTTGCTGCTTTCAGCTGAAAGAGATGTTTTTGAAATAAATTACAAGAGATCAATTTTGCAAAAAAAAAAACTAGCCAATCAACTACAACATATACTAATTATTTTTATTATTTTATTGGCACCTCTGATCAGTGGTGCCATGCCTATTACCAAGTCAGGAAAAAATTAACCGATTTTCAATAAAAAAAATTGGCAAACAGAAAAATAAATAAAACGGTTATAGAAAATTTAATAAATTTATCACCATTTTCATTATTACTTTTATGCCCATTCAAACCTATAAACTAATCCTCAATAAAGTAAACGGCAAAACAAAAACATAAATAAAACAGTTAATATAAATGTAACATTTTGGATCATTCACATCATCATTATCCTCCAATTAATAGAATTAACTAAATTTCAATAAACATAACGACAAAACAGATTATATTTATAGAGGGTAGAATAAATGTAATATTTATGATCAGTTCCACCATCTTTATTATGCTACCAATACCATCGCTATTAATAATGACATGATTATGCTAATATTATTGGGCAACATAGATCAAGTGACTAAATTTTTACATATTAAGTCATATTAAACAGCCACAAAACAAAATTAAACTAATAATAAAGAATGGATGGTTTTTGATAATAAACTAAATTACATGGTAACACATATCACAATTAATACATAACAAGAAAATAAAAAAAATAATGTTTCCTACTTTTATGATATCGAATGTATTTTATTATCATTATATTCAAATAAATAATTTTTCTTCAGATATTCATAGATGAACAATCTCAAAGTTTATCTCGGCCTTTAAGAGATCTGGAAGATATTCGCTTACTGATGATTTCTTTGGATTCAATTTTAGAAAGACAGATTGAGATGGATATGAATATTATCCCTATTGAGGTTTCCTCTTCCATTTTTGTTAACATTTCTTTAACATCGTTTCACTTATTGATGTATCATAATATATATAACAAGTTGGAAATAAAATACGTAGGTTTTAACCTCGTGCACCTTTGCTGTCACTCGTCTTTTCAAATAGCATCAATTGTTTTTTTAAATTCAAAATAGTTAATATAACTATTCTATATTTTTTAATAATTTTTATATAGTAAATATTTTTATATTTCAATCAAATTTACAAAAAATTTTATTTTTTAAGTTCAATAAAAAAACATTTTTATTTGTTTTATTCTGTCATTTGATTGTAATTGCCTTATGTTTTAATTATATTTTGCAATTTTAATTTTACGTTCGTTTTCATTTCTGAACTTTTTGTGTATGGTAAGACTTTTTGTGTAAGGTAAGACAAGATTGCCATTGGGAATAATAGAATTAAAATTGAAAGACAATTATATATATATATATATATATATATATATATATATATATATATATATATATATATATATATATAAACAGTAAACACTTGTACATAGTTTTGTCTGTAGTCGAATTGATAATGTATGGAGTCAACTTATTCCTACAGGACTGTGTTCAATCAGTAATAAAAGCCTGCAGCAAAATTGGTAGCCGGCGTTTCAAAGTTTCATTCCATCTCAGTATACATGCGTGATGAACTCTATTGGCTGCGGTTTCCGGAAAGGGTTAAATTTAAAGGGGCACTCCTGGTAATAGACTGTCTTACTGGAAATGCACCGGTTTACTTGAGTGAACAACTAATACCGGTATCAAAGGTACATGGACGTAGTCATCTTAGGTCGTCGGACCATGGGGATCTGGTTATTCCGTTTTTTAGTTCCTCAAAATATGTGACGGCGGAAATTTGCTGTAATGGCGGGTGAAATTTGGAACTCACTTGTGAGGGAATAGTTCCATCACAGATCAACGGATGTTCAAAAAAAAATTGAAACATCATTATTTCAACACTGTACACCAAAGAAAGCGCTTCTGAGGTGCCATACAAGTTTTGATACTGATATATATATAAATAAATAACTATATATATATATATATATATATATATATGATTTATGAAATCTACCAAATTTACAACGTTAGAAATCTGTAGATTTCATTCTGTAGATTTATGGTCTTTTACCAGCATATATATATATATATATATATATATATATATATATATATATATATATATATATATATATATATATTTACAATATTCTATAAATTCCACCGAATGTTTGGCGTTAATATGTTTGTAGATAGTAGATCTACCTGGAATATCCCTTGGAAGCGTGAATATAAACAATGTAAGATATGCTGATGATAGAACTCTTATAGCAGATTCAATGGAAAAACTGCAAACAATTGTTTCCAGACAGGTTTTTAAAAATGAAAGGAAAGGCTTGCAAATTAACATAAACAAAACAGAGTGCATGGTTATCAGTAAAAGCAAAACCGCACCCAATCTGCTCCATAATCATTAATGGTAAAGAAGTAAAACAAGTCAACAGCTTCAATTATCTCGAAAGTCTGATTACCTCAGGTTGTGAATGTGATATGGATATCAAAAGAAGATAACTATGGCAAAAGATGATTATTCAGAAACGAAAAATTTCTTCATCAACAGTAAAATCAGAATATCAATAAAATTAAATATATATATATGATTTATGAAATTCACCAAATTTACAACGTTAGAAATTCTGTAGATTTCATACATTACTGTATTTATGGTCTTTTACCAGCATATATATATATATATATATTTACAATATTCTATAAATTCTACCGAATGTTTGGCGTTAATATGTTTGTAGTTCGTTTTTTCGATTTTTCTCACTAAAGTTTTTTGGTGAGCGTTTAGTTTATTAAATTCAAAATAAACTT